GTCTATAAAGAGAACACTGCAAAAGAGTCGTGGCTTTGTTCCTCCCTCCATATATGAGTCTGTCCATAAAATATCCAGGCATACACTAGGAAAAATAGACATTTGTTGAAGAAGATACAAGAAGCATTGTACATGGGACATGACCCCTCTGTCCACTTCAAAGTAGGAAGCTTGGGACCTCACATAGTCCTCCCAATCACCATCAGCTGCCCTGTCGTATTTTCCTGAATCTCATCAATTGTCTGAAACCTTTCTCCTTTCAAAGGTAACTTTAGTTTTGGGGAAAGCCAGAAGTTGCAGGGAACCAAATCTGGGCTGTAGCGGGGGCTGAGTCACCCAGATGATATCATGTTTCACAAAAAAATCTGTACGTGATGCATAAACAGGTGCACTGTCATGATGAACCTACTAATCACTAGTTGCCCATAGCTGTGGCCATTTTCTTTATATTGCATCGCTGCACTCATTGCATCATCCCTAAAAGTCCTCTGAATAATCTGAATACTTTTCACAGAGGAATGTTCAAACTTGATGAAAAATTTTATGCAAATTTGTTGCTCTACTCGCTAATTCATTCTAAATGCAATGGCCACATAGTCATGTACTCACTCAATGGCATCTACCGCCCCCACTGACTAGTACAGTGAAGTAATCGTTGTTCATGCATACACCTTCCAGTCCACACTCCTTTGTCAGGTTACATCAATGTTTGGCAAACTGTTCTCATTATATTAACAATGGCTGGACTTTTTCCAGACAGACCTTGTGTGCATATATTGTAGAGAGTTTATTCTTTTCTTTTTCACCAATGACCCATTACAATAAACATCACAGAATTCTTTCTTCACATAAAATAAACTGAAATGGTGACAAAATGTTAAAAGTTGATTGTTTCAAAATGGTAACATATTCATTCTGACACAACAGATTTTTAAACATTAATAAGATATTTTCAGATAATATGTTTCTTTCTTTATTAAAAATTATAAATAATAAGTATGCAATATGTACAGTCTCTGAATAAACACAGAAAATTATAACTAATCCAACTTCTCCGAGTATACCATTACTACTAATATTTTGGCATATATAATTAGTTATTTACCTATCTGTGAATATATAAAGGAGATAAAGGGAAAAAATAGAGCATAAGAAAGATCTCTTTCGAACTTTTAAAATATAGTATGTTATGAAGCTACTTCTACCTCAAGCATTTAATATTTTCACAGTATAATATCTGAAGATTAATTTACAATGTGTTCAACAATCTTATACTGTTAACATTCTAGGTTGTTTTTTTTTAATTTCTTATTATAAATAATGTCACAGTGAATACGCTCATATATGAACTATTGCAATTATTTCAATTATTTCCTGAGACTACAATGTAGAAATAAAATTACTAGTCAATACTCTACATATACATTAGTCTGTTGGAAAGGTTGATTAATTTTCATTCTCTATAGCTGAGTTTCACATTTTTGATGCTCTTTATTAATGTTTGCCTGTTAAAACTCTTAGCAATTTGACATGGAAGCTAAATTACAATGTGCACCTAAGCCTTACATTTCTCACAAATATCTGAAGAATGAAATTTTTATTTCACACATTTAGAAGAACACTAATAAAAAGATATCCAAAATAGAAAAGCAGTAAAACTCTATTTTCACAGATGACATAATCCAATATATAAAAATTCCCTCAGAAATACACACATACACACACACACATTCCCAAATATGTTCAATATAATCTTTATCAGAATTCCAGTGACCTTCTACAGAAATAGAAAAGATGATCCTCAAATTCATATAGAACTGCAAGGGGCCTTAACTATCCAAAATAATCTTGAGATAAATGAAAAAAGAAAAAAAGAATATTTCAATCAACTCAGGTTTCCATAACAAAACACCTTAGAATGGGTATTTGAACAGGAAAAATTTATTTTCTCATAGTTCTGGATGCTGGATATGTGAGATCAGGTCTTCCTGGCTTTTCCGATGGTGGCCTTCTCCCTGTGTTCTCATGTGAGGGGGGTGGGGAAAGAGAGAGACTGAGAGATTTCTGGTGTCTCTTCTGAGCACACCAATCCCATCATGAATTTCATGCCCTCACAGCTTCACCTAAACTGAATTCTCTCCCAAAGGCCATCACACAGGGTGTTAGGGCATTAAAATACAAATCTGGGGGACACTATTCAATCCAGAGTTTGGAAAATTTATACTTTCCAATTTCAAAACCTACTACAAGGCTGCAGGAATCAAAGCAGTGTGGTACAGGCATAAGGACAGGTGTATAGACCAGTAGAATAGAATTGAACCCAGAAATAAACCCATAAATACATGGCCAGCTGATTATCAACAAGGGTGCCAAGATTGTTCAATGGGGAAAAAACAGTCTTTTCAAAAATGGTGTTGGGACAACTGGACAGCCATATTGGGGGAAAAAAAAAGTGAAGCTGGACCTTTACTCACATCATATACAAAACTTAGCTAAAAATGGATTGATTACCTAAATATAAGAAATAATACCATACAACTTTCAGAAGAAATATCAGGGTAAATCTTCACGATCCTATTTTTGCTGATGAACTCTTAGATATAAGACCAAATCATGAGTAACAACAGAAAAAAATAGGTACATTGGACTTCACTAAAAATGAAAAAACTTTTGTTCATTGAAGGACATTATCAAGAAGGGGAAATACAACCCACAGAAATGGAGAATGTTTGCAAATCATTCATCTGGTAAGTGGATAATATTGAGAATATATAAAGAGCTACAACAACTCAATAACAAACACATAAATAACTTAATTAAAAATGGGCACAGGACAGGACTGTATATTTCTTCAGAAAAGATATGAAAATGTCACTTAATATCAGTATTCATTAGGGAAATATAAATCAAACCCCACTGAAATAAGTATAAAGAAATAAACAAAAAAGTGTTGGCAAGGAAATGGGGACTTTGAGACTTTCATACATTGCTGGTAGGAATATAAAATGGTTCAGCCATTATAGAAAAGTTTGTCAATTCCTCAAATAGTTAAAGGTAGGATTACCACAGGAACCATTAATTCCACTTCTAAATATACCCCCCAAAATTTAAATGAGAAACTCAATAAGCACATGTATATACATGCTCATAGCAGTACCATTTATAGTAACCAAAAGGTGGAAATAATAACCCATCATTGTGTTCATTAATGGGCAAATGGAATAACAAATAGTGGTATATATATACATACAATGGAATAGTATTCAGTCACATAAAATAACAAAGCACAGACATATGCTACCATTCGGATGACTCTAAAAAGCATTATGCTGAGTAAAAGAAGGCAGGCAGAAAGTATGATATTGTGTGATTCCATTTATATGAAATATCCAGAATAGGCAGAGACACAAGGGGTAGAAAACAATACAGATGAACTGACTAATGAGTACAGGACCCTCTTTTGGGGTAACAAATATATTTTAGAACAAGATAAAGGTGATAATCTCACAACATTGTGAATGTACTAAATGTCACTTAATTGTTCACCTTTAAATGTTTAATTTTATATTATATGCATTTCACCTCAATTGGGGAAAAAAAAAAGAGGACACTAGCCTTTCAGAGGTTATGTTTCTTACCCAAAGGTATGAAAGAGGTAAGGGAGGGATTTAAGCTCCATACACAGGGAGACTTTTTTAAGCTTCTGTGCTATTTCCCTTTTTGCTGTATTGCCTCCTTCTGTGTCTCTGTTCAGTTTTATTTAGAGTAATGTTTTCCATCCTACATAAGCAGTTCTCAATGTGTGGTGAGGAGATCCTGGGTATTCCCAAGACTATTTCAGAGTGTCTATAGCACCCAAATACTTTTCACATGGTATTTGTCTTTCACCACGTGGCTTATTTCACTTAGCATAATATTCTCCAGTTCCATCTACACAAAAGTTAGGAGTTACATTCTTCTTTCTGCTGCATAGTATTCCACTGGGTAAATGCACCACAATTTTTGATCCCCTCATTTACTGATGGGCACCTAGGCTATTTCTAGTCCTTGGCTATTGTAAATAGTGTGGCTATGAACATATGGGTGCATAGGTTCTTTTGAACTAGTGTTTCAGGATTCTTAGGGTATAATCGCAGCAGTGGAATTGCTGGGTCCAAAGGCAGTCCCATTTTTAGTTTGCTGAGGAAATTCCATACTGTTTTCCACAGTGGCTGCACCAGTCTGCATTCTCACCAACATTGCACTAGGGTTCCCTTTTCTCTACATCATCACTAGCACTTGTTGTTTGTCAATTTATTAATGGTGGCCATTCTGACAGTTGTGAGGTGATATTTCATTGTGGTTTTCATTTGTATCTCTCTAATGGCTAGTGATGTTGGCCATCTTTTCATATGTATGTGCCATCTGTATGTCCTCCTTAGAGAAGTGTCTATTCAGGTCCTATGCCCATTTTATCATTGGATTGTTTATCTTCCTGGTGTTGAGCCATTTGAGTTCTTTATATATTTTGGATCTAATGAACAAAATAGAACCATAGTCAAGGAAACATGGAACAGACTGACAGTGACCAGAGGGACATGGGATGAGGATAATGGTGGAAAGAAAAGGGAAGTGACTAGATAAAGACCTTGTATGAATGACCACAGACTTGGACAACAGTGTGGGAATTAGCTGTGGGAGCAGGGGATGGGATGGGAAAAGGAAGGCAAAGGGAGAAAAATTGGGACAATTGTAATAGGATAACAATTAAAAAATTATTTAAAACTCCAAACACTTTTAACTTAAAAAATAACATGTTCTTTGCCCCTTTCATCCTCATTCTCTCATGAGTGTCCTGTGGAGTTTTCCAGAGGTGACATGACTTATAAAGTCACAACAACAACAAAAAGAAAGTAATGTTTTCTATATATGCATAAAATATTTATGTTCTTTATACAGTCATTCTGTTGGTGTCATTGGCCCATTTTTTAAAAGATTTTTTTCAATCTGGACTTGACAAGCAGAAATGGCACCTTGCAAAGGGAAAGAAAAGAAGGAGGAACAGGTCATCAGCCTCAGACCTCAGGTGGCTGAAGGAGAAAATGTATTTGGTGTCTGCCACATCTTTGCATCCTTCAATGACACTTTTGTCCATGTCACTGATCTTTCTGGCAAGGAAACCATCTGCTGTGTGACTGGTGGGATGAAGGTAAAGGCTGACAGAGATGAGTCCTCTCCCTTCGCTGCCATGTTGGCTGCCCAGGACATGGCCCAGAGGTGCAAAGAGCTGGGTATTACCACTCTCCACATCAAGCTCCGGGCCACAGGAGGCAATCAGACCAAGACCCCTGGACCAGGGGCCCAGTCAGCTCTCAGAGCACTTGCCCGCTTGGGAATGAAGATTGGACGGATTGAGGATGTCACCCCCATCCCCTCCGACAGCACCCGCAGGAAGGGAGGTCGCCGTGGTCACCTTCTGTGAACAGAAGTCCTCAAATTGTTAATAAATTGCCTTTGTGTCAACTAAAAAAAAAGATTTTTTTTCATTTTTAAGGGGCAGGGAGGAAGGAAGGGAGAAAGAGAGGGAGAGAAACATCAATGTGTGGTTGCCACTCAAGTGCCCCCACTGGGGACATGGCCTGCGACTCAGGCATATGCCCTGACTGGGAATTGAACCAGTGACCCTTTGATTCACAGTCCAGTGCTCAATCCACTGAGCCATACCAGCCAGGGCTCATTGACCCATTTTTAATTAGATTGTTTTCCTTTTCTTTTTGATTTCTAAGAGTACTTTATAAAATACGGTAAAATTATTTATCTTTTAAATATTATGCTAGTGTATTTTAAAATTATTCTATTTGTTCTTTAGTTTTGTTTATCAATTTTTGGTATAAAGATGTTTTCTATGAAATCTATCAATCACTTCCTTTAGTGTTTTGCCTTTACAAGATAAGGAAGGTGACACTGTTATCAAGGAGCCCAAGACATAATTCCCTGGTGAAAGACTGAATTATTTTAACCCCTAGATAGTTATCCCATTTATTTCTAAAGCCCAAGACTAAAATTTTAAGAGATATTTAAATGAGAAATTTTTAATTCAGGTTAAAAAAAAACTAAAAATTAGTTTAGAAAATGTTGAGACTTTCAACTAACTTAGAAAGTCTCAACATTTTCTTCAGAGGGAAACTGCATTTCCAGGGACCAGCCAGTTGCCAAGATTTGTAGCTGACAACTCCTACAAGTAGTAACTGGTAAACAATATAACCTGAATCCATGTATTTCCTTCCCTACACTCCATTCTAGGCTGTTTCAAGATCCCACATGCAGAGTGAATTTTCCACCCAAGACCATTTCCTTGACAATTTTAGATGTCTAGCTGTATCAAGGTTGAGAGAAAAGAGAAGGGCTCTATTATTAAGCAGTGGGAAAGAAAAACAAAGGAAGATAGTGACTGTAGATGGATCAGGATCAAGATCATAGAGCTGGAAAAGAAAGCTTTGGAATTCACCTGCAAGAAGTAGCCTTAGTGGCTACTGAAGTGTTATGGAGACAATCTAGAGAGAATTCACAGAGTGAAAGAAGAAAAGAAGGAAAGATCATACACTATAGAGTATTAGACTTAAGGGCAAGGAGATAAAGAAACACCATAAATGATGTATTGGTCCATGAAAAGTTCAAGGAAAGGAATAGCAAAAACTTTGCCATAAGCGTAAGGAAATAAAGCAAATCACAGACACAAATGGTGCATGCTGTCACAGATGGATCAAGTAAGACACCAAATGAAAATAATACATGGAATTTGATATTTATGGATTAAGGATTTAGGGAACAAAATTTTAGGCAGGAGCCTGATTAAAAAAAGTAGAGATGGGTAAGATTCTGAAAGGAAGGCAAGAGAATGTAATACAGAGGGAGGAAGTTTGTGAAGAGATTATAAAGTTGAGAGACCTGATCATGTGTATATGCTGAAGCAAAAATAGCAATGAAGGTGTGGCTGCAGCAGGTAATAATAAAGAAGAGAATACTGATGAAGGGTAGTACTGTATGAGAGAGGATACAATTGTGAAGAGTTTAGTCACTGAGAAATGAGGAGACTACATTTTATCTTGAGTGAAGAAAGTATGTGAGAAGTCTCTTGACCCTGCGTGTGTTGACTCCATTTACTTTCTATCCAGCTCCCTAAATTAAGCTGCCACTATCTCTCTTCTAGACTCCAACAATACAATTATAATTGAGCAACAGGATTCCTACCCCACTCTCATTCCATTCTCCACAGGGAAGCCAGAATGATTTGTTAATATGCAAATGGAATCATGTTATTTCTGGTTTAACCCCAGGGCAACTTCCCATTACATATAAAATTATGTCAGATATCTACCAGTGCCTTCAATTTCCCTAGGAGAACAGCTCATTACCTGTATTTGCATCACACTCATAACCACTGCTCTGTTTGTTCAGTATGATCTAGTCAACTTGGTTTGCCTTCAGTTTCTTGAAAACAACTACTTCTTCCCACAGATAATGCTGATGCTGTTCCCTGTACCTGAGTTTACTCTTCTTGATAATTCTCACATAATTGACTTCTTGTCATTTCTCAGGTTTCTCACAAAAACCACTTCTACGGACAGGGCATCAATGATAAATGAATATAGAGTAGACCTCCCTTCTCTCAAAACACCTTTCCTAATATTTATGACAAATGTTTCTGTTTGTTTGTTTATTATTTGTTTTCTGAACCAAATTACAAACTCTGTGAGGGGAAGACCATAGTGTACACAAATGCTCAATAAATACGCGTTTTATAAATGGCGGACAGGATAGATAGCTACATAGGTGCATAGATAAATGATAGATATGGATAGTAAATTAAGTAGACTGAGGGGCTAATGACTAAGATACTGAATTTCTCTGCTAATTAAAACTCAAATTCAATTATTTTTGCTAAAAGACCCTTAAAAAGATTTTTGAGTTTTGTTAGAGGCCAACCTAATAGTATTCTAAAGGCTTTTAGGAGGAAACTAGGATCTGTGGTAAATAAGATTTAGTCACATGAAGTTGGTAGGGGTGGGTGTTTTCAAACAAAGAAAAAGGTTAAATGAAGAGACTGAAAAGGGGTCAGGAAATTATTGATCCCACGCACAGTAGTGTTTACTTGGTGAGAAAGCCGCCCTGTTATTTTATTTTTATTGTTACTACTATATTTGTTTGATTGATTTTCATTTAAGATGCCGAGTCAGACACAAGAAACACTATAAAATGGGCAGCATGTCATTCTACTTTGCTTTATTTAAAAAAAATTAAACTAATACACAGGATGTGTAACTTTAAATCAACAATTTGCTACCCTATCTCTTCACTCTCCAAAACCAACCCTTGAAACAAAAAAACAAAAATAACTTCTTTAGATCTTTTGGGTGCATTACTAATATGACTTGACCTCTGTGTCTTGATCTACTAACATTAAAAGTTACCTCTTGATTTCTATCTACTTACTCATTTTTTCTTCAGGCAAAGTTACATCACTATTCTAATTTCTTTACTGATCTGTGCAAGCACAAATGCCAGATGATTTAAATGATTTAAATTTTCATTACTTGTGTCATCAAATGTAAGCAAAATCTTTTGACCCAACTTTATGAAAGAAGGTATTAGCCTACATCATCCTTGCTTCCTTTTGTAGATCAATCTCTGGCCACTATACTTCTGTCTTTATAAAGTCAAAGATAATAGCATTTACATTCTGTCCAGTAATCATAATAAAAGTTTCCTTACTTTGTCAATGGCTTGACCTTAAAAATTGAAAATCAGTCTAATGGAGATGTATTTTATAAATAACTCTCTATCCATTCTGCCCTTTCAATAATGCACTCCCCCACCCGCCTCCTGCCGCCCCTCTACTGTGGGAAGGCGAGAAGGGCGACATTCCCCCAAACGAGAGGAAGAAATGATGGGAAGTTTCCATCAAGAAATAAACTAAAATATAAATTCTTTCTGTGTTAGTAGAAAAAGAAAATGAGAATTAGAAACACTCATTCTGTAGTCCACAGGGTTTGAGTTATCACCGTGCACACTCGCCCCATCACCTCCCGCTCTTCTCCAGGTATAAAAATTTCATATTCAGAAACGTACAAAAACAAACAGGTTTAATAGAAACATTTTTTCCTCCCAGAAGTGTACATTGATAGCACTATTCTCTGTTTCTTCTTGTGCATATTTTATGAACATTTCTCTGATTTCCAAAATACAGCTGTAAACAATTTCAAGCCCTTTCGAGAATGGGCGGCTTCCACAGCTCACACCTCAGAGCTGTGAGGCTCTGGCAAACTTGGCAAATCAAGCGCCTAAGCAGGAAGTCTGAGTTGTGCCTTAATGTCAGGCCAGGAAGATAATATTTTTTGTTCATTAAATGTCTATTGTCAGGAGAGAGAGAGGGAAAGGGAGAGAGAGAGAGAGAGAGGGAGAAAGAGAGGGAGAGAGAGAGGGAGGGAGAGAGAGGGAGAGAGAGAGAGAGAGATGGACCAAACAGAAAAAGTCAAGATACAGAAAGCATTACTAATACATCTTAACCAGTTAAATTGAAAGATGTGAAGACGTGTACTGTAAATTTTGTTTCCTATATAAAGTAAGCATAGTTTGTTGTAAGTGCCCATTGACAGGTAATTTTTTTAAAGAAACTTAGTGTTTAAACAATACATCAGTAGGTACAAAAAGTAAATTTTACAGACCACATTATTTGAATGATATGTATTAAAACTAGAAGTTGATGATAAAACTTTATATTTTTAATGCTGAAAGGGGAAAAATCATACTCCCTTCAAACAATCCATAGTCTATGAAGAAATGAAAATTGATCTTTACAAAGATTTCTTCAAAAAAACATAATTTTTAAAACATTTGTCATATCATCTATAGGATATGACCAAAGCAAACTTGTAATTTTAAATATTTTAATAAGTAGAGAAGAATAAAAAATAAATAAAATATTATATTGATAGAAAACAATAAAGTGAATAAAAATAAAAGCAGAATTAATTAGGAGATAAAATAAAAAATCAACAGAAAATATTTTACCAATAATTTAATTCAAGGCCAAGTTTCTATAAAAAATTACAAAGTATACTGATGCTTAGAAAATCTTAAAGCCTAACCTCATAACTATAACATTATATACGGTACAATCCTTTAATTATGGAGATTATCTATTGAATCTTTATTTAGTTCTGATGAGGTTGAAACACTTCCATTTCCAATTTTTCATAATTTCTACCCAATTTTAGTCACCATGTGTGGTTAGGTGTTCTTATGTTTCTATACTGTGTTTTTAATTTATGTATTTTAAACCTCAAGCATAAAAGCTAAAGTCAGCATATTTACATATGTCCCACTCTTTCTCTCCTCTTTTTTCATATATAATATATCTATAGTGTATGTGTTATATATACACATGTCTATGTTGTCAGGCTGTATATCATACAGTCTATTCCATCA